TTATTTAAAAATCATACATTGTATTTTTCTGGATTTTTGTTTTAGATTCCATCACTCACAGTTGAAGAGTAACTATGATAAAAATTACAGTCTTCTACAAGCTTTGCAAGTGGGAGAACCTGAAAAATCAACAGTGTATCAAATACTTGTTCTCCCCACTGTAAACAGAGCCAATGATGTGATTATGACTATTTTGAGAGTTCTGTAACAAAAGAATTGTATGCAAGAAAAATTGGCAGAATTTGTGTATAGATACTGTAGCTCAAAAGCTCTTTGTGTAAGCCTTAAACATTTTTTAAATAAACTGCATTTCTTTGTATATTTAGAATGGTGAGTTTCATGGAGATTGGACTTTAAACTGTTGAGAAGAAGCTAAAAATAGTTTTTGCCAGTTTTGCACTGTAGCACAAACATTTGTAAATGGAAAGAACATGAATACCATCTCATTTTCTCAAAGTGTCTAAAATTTACACAATATGAATTTAACTTAAATTTTGAGAGCCGCTCGAACTTCTGCATGAGGTATTTTGCTAAAAGACACCCAAGCAAACCCCATTATGGCCTGCTGCTGTAAGGAAAACAGTTGATAATATTATAAATTTGCAGGTTAAATTCTTTGTTAACAGACCAAAAGCCTTACCTGTTTCAGGTATTAAAGGTGCAGAAGACATGCGGGTGCAGGATCGTGTCAAAGGACGCCTGGGAATAAAGCCATGACTGTGATTCTGTTGTGAACCATTTACAAAAGTCCCTGTAGTGTCAGGTTGTCTTTCTCCATGTCTATCCTGTCCTGCTGTCCCAAGAGCAGGACACCTAGACGCCTGACTGTCCACGCTGGAAGGACCAGGGCTACTCCTGTCCCCAGACTCATTAAAAAAACTATTCCTATTTCGTGCTTTTGATGGGTTTTCATCAGTCCTGATTACTCCAGCAGCTCTATCAGGGGGTACAGTGGGCATACTCCCATTGACGACTCTCCTACACCCCCCCACGTGGCCTGAGGAACCTGCGGGAGGTCGCCCCCTGGTGGCAGACACACTGGGCTTGTCTTTGGTGCGAGATCCCGCCTCAGTGCTGCTGGTGCCTTGAACCTTTCCACAGTCGGGTCCTGGTCCTGCAGAGGACTCTCCAGTCCCTGGCGGGGGTTCTTTACTGTTAGTAGCCCTGTTGTTTTCAGTTGCAGCCTTGATGTCGGCCTTAATCTGTTCACTAGTCACCTGACAGCTCTTCTCACAACTGCTGTGCGACATCTGAGGCTTCGTCCGACCAGACAGAACCATGTTGTTTCGCCGCAGAGGGGTTTTTCCTTTACCTGAAGGGGAAAAAATCTGATTAACATGCTGTGCTGCTGGGGACATTTTGTTCTTTTGTGAAAATAATCTTACATAAAGCATTTGAATCGCGTTCTGCACAGTTACAGGCTGTTTGGTCAGGCAGAGTCAATTACAGATTTTTCAGGCTCATCATACAGGTAAACATCTAAAGGGGTTGACGTGTATGCTCTTCCATCCACCTAAACATGCCTTGTCTGCTTCAGATCTATGGGAAACAGAGCTTTTTCTCACTCTGCTCCCCAACAAAGGACAAAGCAGACTGTACTTCTTGAGGAAAGCTAAGCTAATCAAAAAGAAAAAAATAAGTAGGTCCTCTGGATGGGTTCTTCTTTAGTGAAACGTTTTGTCTCTCCTCCAAGAGACTTCTTCAGTCTGATGAGTTTCAGGTGAACTCAGCCTTATAAGCACTGCCTCCACATGGACAAACAGGTTAGTCACATGCAAAAGAGGGCCATCGCCTAACAATAGGCTTGATTAGCTCTATTGTTTATAGAGGGTCATGTGTCCATCACCTGACTTATTGGTTTGGATGCTTCGGCTGTGGTTATTTGGTGTTTTGTTACGTGAATGTAGTGAATGCAAGCGGGGTTCAACGTCCCCTTGTTTTTTTCTCTCTTTCCCTCTTTGTGTTGGTATCGTTGGGCCCTGATTCACACCTTTTGCTCACAGGGGGCGGAGTCATACTTGCAATAACAGCGTTGTAGGAGGAGGACAACTGGACATGAAGGCCTCCACCTCTGTTTAATGGTGGACGGTTTTTTTCAGAAAGATGGCTTCCTTTCACTTTCCTTCCACTCTCCTCACCCCCACCAATAACAGAACCAGCCCCACCTCCCACTCCAACCCAGCCTCACATTCACCTCACAGCTGATCAGGTGAGAAGTCAGCTCAGGAAAACAAAAATCAGGAAGGCAGCAGGACCGGAAGGAATCAGCCCCAGACTGCTCAGAGACTGTGCAGACCAGCTCTGTCAGGTGGTCCTACACATCTTCAACCTGAGCCTGAGTCTGGAGAGGGTCCCTGATCTGTGGAAGACTTCCTGCGTGGTTCTAGTGCCAAAGATCACACATCCCAACCACTACAGACCGGTGGCTCTGACTTCTCACTTGATGAAGACCATGGAGATGCTCATCCTGCACCATCTTCATCCTGTGGTGAGCCCAGCACTGGACCCCCTGCAGTTTGCCTACCAGCCCGACATCGGGGTGGAGGACGCTGTCATCTACCTGCAGCATCTATGTCTCTCTCACCTAGAGCAAGCAGGAAACACTGTGAGAATCATATTCTTTGACTTCTCCAGTGCTTTCAACACTATCCAGTCTGCTCTGCTGAGAGGGAAGCTGGAGGGGGCCGGAGTGGACAGGCAGCTGACAGCATGGACCATCGACTACCTCACCAACAGACCACAGTATGTGAGGCTCCGTGACTGTGTGTCTGATGTGGTAGTCTGCAGCACGGGGGCACCACAGGGCATGGTCCTCGCACCCTTTCTGTTCAGTTTGTACTCGTCAGACTTCAGGTACAACTCGGACCACTGCACCTTCAGAAGTTCTCGGATGATACGGCCATCATTGGATGCGTATCAGACGGGAATGATGAGGAATACAGGGGGGTCATCAGTGACTTTGTTGGCTGGTGTGAGACCAACACTCTCCAAATCAATGCCAGCAAGACGAAGGAGATGGTCATAGACCTCAGGAGGAAGTCACCCCCTACAGCACCGGTGAACATCCAGGGAAAACACATTGAGACAGTGGACTCTTACAAGTACCTGGGGGTTCACCTCAACAACAAGCTGGACTGGACTACAAACACAGACGTCCTGTATAAGAAGGGCCAGAGTCGACTCCACCTACTGAGGAGCCTGAGGTCCTTCGGTGTCTGCAGGACTCTGTTAGACATTCTACGACATGGTGGTAGCATCTGCCCTTTTCAATGGAGTGGTCTGCTGGGGGGCTGGATGTACTGAAAGGGACAGGAACAGGATGGACAAACTGTTACAGAGGTCAAGCTCTGTGCTGGGATGTCCTCTGGAGCCTGTGGTAGTGGTGGGTGAGAGGAGGATGTTGGCAAAGCTGACAGCCATCATGGACAACCC